TATGATAAAGTTAAATTTATATGTTAGGTAGAGTGAGGAATTAACAATGCCAAACAATAAAACAGAACATTTATAACAATGTGCCATAATATCGGTATTCTGGATATTATCCTAAATATTCTACTGTATTATATACTCGACAAAGGGATTAATTTATATTCCATGCAGGAGGAACTGGGCAGGTTGGTGAAAGACATTCTTATGCTACTGAAAATACCACTCCTACTTTATTGATTATTCTAGACTTTCTCACTGAATTATTTTCAGGTCATGGTGATAACCAGCAACGGAAATCATGGAAACAAAACCGCAGACAAGGGCTGACTACTACTTTAATAAGATCTTATTATTCTCAGGCCATGATGATAACTGGCAACTGAAATCCATGCAGCCACGTAAGGGCAGAAGCTGAACCTGAGTCTTGTTCCTCCTGGAGGGAAGGCAGAGCCTTTGTTCTCATTTGAAGGCCTTTCAGAAGCACTGGAAATATATCCCAAGAACAGACTAGCACAGCCACCTTTCTTCATTCCTAATCAGTATCTGCTGGGTCAAGATCTCCATCTACACCCATTACTCCAGGGAATTAAAGAAGTGCTAAGTCCCTCTGACTTGCCTCTTCTCTTTTGGCTAATGAGGTGTGAGATTTGCTACTTGTTATGGGAAATCCTCTGCACCCCCAAAGCTTTCGGATCTCACCTGTCAATGAGCTGTTTCCATGCTGCTTAAATCACTACAGGCTTTGTTGAGGAAATATGTGCTGGAGTTTGGGGAGCTGGGACTTTGTTGACTAGGTTCAGCTTGAAACCATGGATTTCAGACACAGCATTGCAGGAAAGGCTCCTACTCAACCACACACAAAAGTTTTCTCAATAAAACTCCAAGACACTCCAAGACCACTAAGAAAGCATTTGTTCTTATCTGCTGGCACGCAGACACCGCCTCATGATGCAAAAGTGGGAAGCATAGTCTGCCTGACATTACACTCCTGCTTCAAACTGTTCCCTGGGTCCCACTGATGTGAGACATTCAGGATGCTCCCAAGACCCTTCCGAAAAGACTCCAAGTTCTCTGTCCTTCTACATATTGGCTTACGGTGGCCATAGAGTCTACATTCACAAGAGCATTCTCCATTTTGGTGAGTCCAATCATGTGATGAGTCCAATCATGTGACCATCTTCACATCTCTGTACAAAGTATCTCTGGCACCCCCTTCCACCCTAAGTGTCTGTCTCTGATTTCTCCTCCAACCTTCCCCAGACAACTTCCAACTGAAGTTCTCAACTTCCAACTGAAGTTCTCAACTTTTCATGACTCCCCACCCACAATGATTGTTTTCTAAATGGTGAAGCAGGAATTGGGGTATCTTTTTTTTAATTGTTGTCAACCAACATTAACTGAGCATTTGGCCATGAATCAGATGCTACACCGGTGCCTACAACCTAAAAATGTGCCAGTCAAGATCCTTGGCATCAGTGGGCTTACAATGTTATGATAAAGCCTTGCTTCCTAGAGTAATGGCAGCCCTGGAGAGTGAAGAATTTACTGACTGAAAAAACATATGTGATGGCTCTTAGGTTATACCTTAAAATTGTTCGTTGGGAGAGTAAGGAAAGGTTCTCTTAGTTTAAAGAACAGTGTGAGCAATAGTACTCAATGTTTATTGAATAAATACATCAAAGATGCCACAAACTATAGTAGTGTCTTAGCTACTACTTCTCCAGGGCCTTCTACAATTACTGAGTGTCTGTGGCATCTCCATCCCTGATATCAAAAAGATCCTCCTTATTTTACAGATAAGGAGGCTGAGACATGCCCCTCTCTGCCACTGCCACACGCAAAAATCCAAAAGCTAGCAAGTGTCAGCCCCCACCCTGAGTTCCTAACCATAGAAGGAGTTCATCTTCAAGGGGCAATTTGTAGAGCGAAGTCTAGGTCCTCTTCCTGCACATCGGGTGCACCACTCCAGTCATCCCTCAGAACCCAGGAGGCTTCTGGGAAAGCAGACTGAGGCAAAAGAAGAAAAAGCAGCTGAAGCCACAGTCCACAAGGATTTTGGGCACAGCGGGTTCCTGTATCCCCCCAAGCCTGGTAGGAATCCACTCAGGATCATCATTTTTGGAGGCTCCAAATGAGGACCCTTCCTTTTACCCAGCTGACAAAAGACAGCCCAGAGAGGGCCACCCAAAGTCACCACAAGCTAAACCAGGTTTATAAAAAAGCTCTCCTAAGGCTCAAAGGGTTGAATTGGATCTGTGGCTTTCCAGGACAAAGCATTTCGGTTTTGATGGAGTTCTTTTCTCGCCCCTCTTTTGTCTGGTCATTTTCTCAATTTCTCCCTCGCTAGCTCAGGCTTTTTCTCTGTGATACTTATATTGGGCGCATGCTTCCTCACCCCCCTTCCCGCCCCAGCTCAGACTATTATATCTAGCTTTTGTGGTGTTCCTTTTCCTCTGAAGGCAATCAAAAATGAAAATCCCCATTTCAGAAGAGCGTCTATTAAATATGCACCTTTTGTGGGTTGAAAAGGAAAGAGCTCAGTGAGGACTGACTTCAGCTGTGTTTCACCTACAGATTAGATGCTGAGTGAGACTTCTGCCCCGCAGCAGGTCATTTGTGTCTGGTAATCAAGAAGGGGGTCAGGGAGTCTGGAGTTATAAGCAAGTTACTTTAAGGAATAGCTTAGTCTAAAGCACTACCAACCAAGCTGTGATCGTTGGACCCATCGCAAAGGCTTTACCCAGGAGCTTATTATTACTAGGCCCCTGGGGCTGAAGAGATGGCTCCACAGTTGGGAGCACCTGCCTGTCTTGTAGAGGACCTGAGTTCAGATCCCAGCACCCATGCTGTGCTGCTCATGACTGCCTGTGTCTCAAGCCCCAGGAGACCCCAGCTCTCTTCTCGCCTCCTAGGGAAGCAGCACACACGTGGGGGATCCACATGCACAGAAACAAAAACAGTAAATTAGAGAACACAGAAATGCATACTCTCAGGGGCCACTCAAAGCCAACGGAGCCAGGGCGTTTTAAAAGCAGAGGTCTGGAGCAATGGTAAATTTGCCTTTATGGTCAACCTGGAGACTATGTAGGTTTCTTTCCTGAGAAAGTAAATCTGCCTTGCCAATGTCTTAGGACGCCCCCCACTGCCCTTACCTGCCCATACTGTGGATTCATACAGAAGTCCTAAAATGATAAGTATTCTTCTACAAATCGTCGTCAACTAAACAAGAGTTGCAGGTGAGATCAGGCTGGTGACCAGCCATTCTACAGCAGATGATCCCTAAAAGGAAAGGCCTCTGATGCTAAAGGATGACAGGGAACCCTTACTCTCACCGTTTCCAAGGCTCCAGGAAGGGAGAGAAAAAGACACCACTGTTCAGACTACAAAGGTAACTCGTGAAACCCAAGGGTCTTGCTAAAGGGCCGAGAAAGCCGTGAACACAACGGATGACGTCAATAGCACAGGCTTTAAGTTCAGCCCACGCTCAGACCTCACACAGCAGTGGAGACACATGTAGATGAACCCTGGCTAGCATTTGTCATCTATGTGGGAGACATGGGCCAGGAAGATGGAAAAATCACGGGGACCTGGTTGGAAGGACCAGGAGCTAGAACTGGAAGCCCAGAGAGAGGAAAAGCCCGGGGGCCTGTTCAGTGGTGGCCTGCCCACTGATGCCCATCTGCTCACGAGACAGAGCTAGATCCAGAGGGGAAAAGCCCGGGCAGGACACAGACACATGGTCTGGACTCACAACTGACCTTGTCCTCTTCGAAGAAGACGCCTGCCTCAGAGACGTTTCTAGTGAAAACTAAGTAACAGCACAAAAAGTTACTCCTTGGAAGAAATAAAATAAAACAACCACCCACCACCCCATCCAAAGCCAAAGCGAGAGTTTTCTCCCTGACTCCGGCTCCTTGCACACCACAATAAACACTTGTGCCGTGTGGAACGCCTGGATTGCCGATTGCTCTGTGCTAAGGCCTATGCCGTCATTCTCCTCCCCCAGTTCTGCTAAATTTCCACTCCCTTATCTGCTCCATCTTCACCTTCAAAGCCTCTGAAACAGCAACATTTTCCAACATGGAGATGGTTCATTTATGCCAGGCAATTCTTGTTTGTCATCTAATGACAATCTACGTAGGCATCCACAGAATCGGTTATGAGAACACAAACCTGTCCTTCACATACCCACGTCAGCAAGCTCTCAAGGAATATTTGGAACAGACGGGAATGACGGACAGTGGTGCGCAGGGAAGAAAGGGAGATGCGTAAGCAGGGGGATTCAGACAGGAACTCCAGCTGCCCTCCTCTGCCACAACCAAAGATAGCCCTCTCCCTTGGAATCGAGTACCTTGTAGACCCGCCACCTACAGACACTCGGCTATCCATTTACTTCGGTTAACGTCCACTTTTTGACTCGAACCCCCTTTTACCGGAACTAGCTAAGCAATCTTCCAGAAACGCACCTGAAGCTCTGCAACCCTTCCCCACCCCCAACAGCCACCGATCTACGTGCCTCAGCACACCACCTCCAAGAAAGAGAAAGTTAACTTTCAAATAAACCTGTCCTTCAGCCAGCCTGACCGTATTCTTAAAGGTGGTTATTCTAGCGTTACCCAAATCCAGAAGCCCAAACCCGAACTGTCTGAAGAGGGCAAAGGTCAAAGGGCCACAAATATAGCGCCTTTTTTCCTCTCCTCCCCCCCCTTCTATCCCTCTTTTTTCTTTCTTGGCCAAAATGGGAATAATGGACCAGGCTTTTTGTCCTTCCTTCAGAAAAGCCCAACTGGGCAATTGGTGGGTGTGCGAACCTGCACCGGTTCCACAGAATTTTCTGTGAACTCCCGGGGGTTTTGCAGAAGGCTGAGACACAAGAATTCTGCTTCTCAGGCACCCCTAAAGTCTGGATGTATGCGGGAGGTGCAGTCCTGTCCTGTCAGCAAAGGCTTCCCTCCCTGCTGGGCCGTCCAAGGCTCTCCCATCACAGAGGGTCGGTCACTCACCACCCGTGAGCTGTGCTGGGCCAAAGCACAGCGCCAGTTGAAACCACAGGATCACGGCCAAGAGTCTCTGGGGGGACTGAGGCTGCTGTTGCTGCAGCTGCTGCTCTAGAAATCCATCTCCATTGCTCGGGTTCATTCCATGATACATCTTTCATCCACAGAGGGCATCCAGCTTGCAAGAGTCTGCAACCAGGAGCGGAACACGACAATACCCCGGCTTGCCCGGGCTCTGGGGCCACGCTCTCCCTCCTCCGCCCCGGGGACCCGGCGCCTGGGCTTTGCGGGCTCCATCCCGGTTCGCCCCTGCGCAGCCCCCGCCCCCTTTCCCACGGCGAGATCCTCCCTGCCACCCCCCATGCAGGGTCCAGAGAGTAGCAGCCACCATGGGATACTGCGCGTGCGGGAGGGATGGAGGAGGGGAGAGAGGACAGGGGTAGTGCACACTGGCTCTGCGCTGGTCCCCGGGATTCGGCGGTTGTGATCATGACAGCAAAGTCTAAAGCCTGCTAGCCTCAAGCGGCTGAGAAAACACTTTTCCCCCGGCCTGTACATTTTACTCGCAGGAATCTCACAATGTGCCCCCTGCTGCCCCCGGCTACTTCTCGGCTTTTCCAGGGATTGGGAGGGTCCTATTGCCCCAGTCCCCTATGAGATCTGAGCTGTGATTTTTTTGTTTTTAATTTTAAAAATTCCTCCCTTAGGGGTGCTGAGCCCGGAGCCAACTCGCCCAGGCCGGCCTGCGCGCGCCTCCCCGGGCAGACAAGCCCCTTCCGGGCTCCGGCTCTTACCTGTGGGTCTCATGCATGCAGCTTCCTTCCCTCCTCCGCCTCCTCCCCCCCGCCAGTCTAACCCGCATCTGTGCGCGACCTCTGCTGCCGCCGCTGCGCGAGCGAGCGAGAGAGCGAGACGGAAGCCTCGCCGGCTGCCGGGCTATACCGCCCCCGCCCGTCCCGCCGCGCGCTCCCTCCCCGGGCTCCCCCGAGCGGACAGAGGGGAGGGCGGGCGGGGGTGACGAGGACCAGGGCGGCCGGGCTGCGCGCCCCCGGGGAGGCGCTCGCGTGCCCGCTACCTGAGCTCGGGAGCGCGCGGCGGCGGCGCGGGGGTGGGGTGGGGAGGGGGGGGATGAGGCGGGGGCGCGCTGGAGGAGGGCTAGGGCACGCACGCCCGCACGCGCCTCGTGGATCCCAGCCAGCAGCAGTGGCGGGGGTAAGGGGATGGCGAGGGCGGAGGAGGATGCCACGGCCAATGGGAAGCCGGCGCGCCTGCACCTGCCGGGCACGAGTCGCCAGGCGGCGGCACACGCGCACGCGCGCGCGCACACACACATGCATATGCACGCACACATACTCAGGCACACGCACGCGCGCACACGCCCAGGTCTGCACCGCGATCCTTCACCGGTGGTCTCTGGTGCCCTGTGCGCATCACCACAGGCTGCGATGGTGAAGGTGGTTGGTTTTAGGCGGAGGGATCCCACCCAGGACCGGCACCGACGACAGGGTTAACTTGAATGGGGCGCAGTGAGCTCGTTCCTTGCTAAAACCTCAAGTTCCTGGTGACCCCAGAGCACCTCCAGCAGGCTCTGCGCTTCTTCTGGAGCCCAGAGGACGACTCCAGGAGGCTGGGTCACTGTGCCCGTCCCTTGCACCCTTGGTATTTTCCCTCTTCGCTGCCTTGGAGATGAATGCATCCCTCGGAGCTTTCTCATGAGAGTCTCTCCCCCAGGGAGGCGAATGACAAGCGGCGAGGCAATGGGTGCCAATGCAGAAAGCTGGGTATCACCTGAAGGGGAGGCTTATGGCCCATGGCTAAGAACCCAAAGGGATCAGGGTCCCCAGGAAAGAGAGTTTCCCTAGTCAGCGGTCCCTTTCTGGTGTCTTGTAAGCTCAGCCTGCTCTCCCAACCTATTCCTGCCTTTGCTGTTCCCCAGCAAGCCAGGCCTCCCTCTGCGGGCTGGGCTCCTAGGGCCCAGGTTCCAGCCTTGGTGATTAAGGGGTGTGTCCTAATGAGGTGGTGCCAGCAGGCAGTATTTTCGAACCACCGGCATTCCGTTATTCTGTAGCAATTTGTAGATATGAAAAACCATGTTTCTGATACAGCCTCCAAATCATCCCGTCCTTCTATCGACTTTCCCAAACTCTCACATGCTGAAGGTAGTTGGGAAATTACAGCTTTTACTGTGTCGGCTCTTACTGAGAGTAATTTTAACGAATTCTTGAAGGAGAAATTAGCTTTTAGTAGATAAATCAGGTTCAATTTTTTTCGGTTTGTAAAATTGAGACTCTGGCTTTGCCCAGAGTAACTTTAGCATGTTTGCCTATCACAAATGCATTTCTGCTAAAGAGTGTACTTTGAGACCCCAATGCTTTATTTGGGGGGTATTTTCCATGTTTTCAAGGTTCCGAAATTATTCGCTGCAAATTGAGTATTTATTCCAGTTTATTCTCAGTAAAATGTCTACCCCCTTTTAAATAACTGTCAAATCCACGGGGCCCAAAACTGTTCGTTGACCATGCAACACACATGTCTGAAGCCCCCCCCCTTCACTGCAACAGTCGGTTTATACAGAATGCCAGGGTCAGCATGAACATTCAAGTTCATCAGGCCCTCACGTGGGATCTGTGCTTAATTCTCCTTTCAGACATAGTGGTGTCCAGCTGGGGCTGCAACTCAGTAGTAGCGCATTTGCCTGGCTCTGGTGTGTGGCTCAGGGCTCTACCCTAAAAATTAAGTCACTTGTGAACAAGGTCACATAGCCTCACCAGTACTTGAGACAGCCTGTCATATTTGCCTGTAGCGTCCAGAAGAGCCTTCCTTCTGTGGGATTGCTCTACTTGGGTTTCTACCGCTGTGATAAAACACTGACCAAAAGCAACTTGGGGTGTGTGCAAAAGGTTTACTTGGCTTACAAGTTGCAGTCCATCACCGAGGACAGCCGGGAAGGAGCCGAAGCTGAGACCGTGGAGGAGCGCTGTTTGCTGACTCACTTTACTTCCCTTGGCTTGCTCAGCTGGTTCCCTTTTACAGCTCAGACTCACCTGCCCAGGAATGACACCCACCCCCACCCCAACACACATGCAGTAGGCTGGGCCCTCCTGCATCACTCAGTATTTAAGAAAATGTCTCCACAGACATGGCCACATGGAGGCAATTACTCAGCTGGGAGTCCCTCTGCTTGGATATGTCTAGGTTGGCAAAAGCTATGACAGAACCGAGATCTACCCTTCCTGAAACTTCACCCGTGGTTCTGCCTCTCCTTTCCAGGCATACACAGCTAAGACAAATTCTCCTTCTTGAAGACAACCTTCCAAGGACTTGGTGGTTAAGTGCATATGATGTGGGTTCAATTCCCAGCACCCACATGGAGGCTCACAACCATCTGTAACTCCAGTTCTGGGACATCCAATGTCCTTACCCTCTTCTGATCTCCATGGGCACCAGGCATGCAGGCAAAAGCATTTATGAATATAAATTTAGTAAAATGAGAGACAGCGATTCATCCAGTTGGAGGTAGCATCATGTTCCCTTGCCTTTCCCTTCTGTGGGTTACATGCAATCACTTCCCTTGATATGACAATTCCCAGGCTCCTTGCTAGCTTGTGGGCAAACTAGAGGCCATGGTTCTCGCCAGTGGCCACTCAGCTCCAGCACTGAGAGTTCGTTTGGGAAAGGAGGTGTCTGGTCACTCTGCACTCGCACCCACACAGGATAGGACCAGACTTTCCCACCACTCACATTCACACAGTGGAAGCTTTCAGAGGGCGACTACAGCACAACATGTTATCATTTTCCTATATTATCTTGTGGGTCATTTTTTTCCCATAGTTGTCATAAAATACCATGGTGTTGGTGGCTTACACAACAGGAATTTGGTTTTTCCCAGTTCCGGGTGCTGGAGATCCAGAGCGAAAGTGGTGTGGGCACAGATGAGAGCCTCCTGTGTGTTCCTGAGGGCATTCCTCTGTGGTGTTTAGGACAGTCAAAATGGCCTCATTTAAATTTAATTGCCTCTTTAAAGGCCTTGTCTCCAAAAATCAGTCATATTCGGAATCTAAAAAATAAGCCATTTTGAATATAACTGGGTATACACTTTCTCCAGAAAAGGAAGTGAGGATCGGTGAAATGCAGGAGATAGTATGACTCCTACCTGCCAAGTGATGGACAACTTACCTCCTCTGTCCTTCTCACTCCCACAGGAGTTCACTACCAAATTGTCGAAGAAGGCAAAAGCCTCCCGACTTACTGGGAGGACTTCTTGGATTATTAGACAGACACAGAGGAAGTTGTGAAATTCAGGGAATCCTCTGCTTTCTGCTACTATAACTAAGTGTCACAGTCAGGTAATTTATAAACACTGGAAGCTAAGTAGTTCAAGAACAAGAACTGCTTCTGGTGAGGGCTTTCTTGTTACATTATAGCATGGCAGAAGATACCATGTGGCCAGAAAGAAACAAGGAAGGGGGAGGGAGAGAGACAGAGACACAGAGAGAGAGAGAGACAGACAGAGACAGAGACAGAGAGACAGAGAGAGACAAAGACACAGAGAGAGAGAGACAGACAGAGACAGAGACAGAGAGACAGAGAGAGACAAAGACACAGAGAGAGAGACAGACAGAGACAGAGACAGAGAGAATACAGAAATATTGACAACACAGAAAATGGCTGATACCCATCCTTTTTTCAGAAACACTTGCCTTGGTAAGCAACTCACTCCTGGAGTAGCATAAATCCATTCATCAAGATGAAGCCCTCAGGACCCAAATAACTCCCATCAGGCTTTGCTTCACACACTATGGCACTTGGGGGTTAAGTTTCTCTCGGTCTCTGTCTCTGTCTTTGTCTGTCTGTCTGTCTGTCTCTCTGTGCTGAGATAGATAAAGCAACTCACGGAGGCACTTGCAGTTGCTGCCTCCTCCATGCATGCAAACTGTACTCAGTGGGTGGGCACACGGCATATTTCAGCCATCATATTAGGTACAGAGACAAGTTTACAGTCTGTGGGGAAGTCAAAAACAAAGTCAACTATTCCAGTAAGATTGGGAGGTACAAATGAAATGGCGCCCTTGAATGGGATCCTGGAGTACAAATACCTGTGTGCTTGTGTGGGTTTGAGGAGAATAAAGGGATAAAATAGTTCAGCAAGTTTCCTGGGCAGATAGAACAGCCTAAGCAGTGACTAGGAGGGAAGGATTAGGGATAGAGACCAAAGACAGCACAGACATAATGCAAGCATGGAAATGCCGAATGGCACAATGTCTGAGACGCACCTAAGGTCATGCCAGGAGGAGCCTGGGAAGCCACATAGACAAGTTTAGATTTGGTCTGAAGACAAAGAGACAAGACTAGGACACATTGTACAGAGCTCTCCACTGCTCCTTGGCTCACAGACACATGGAAAGGTGCTGAGGATCACTGATGAATTGGAGAATACCAACTAAAGAAATATCTGATGTCCACCCCACCTTCCGTGGACCACAGATACATGTGTGAGCATATCAAATGTTTGATGCAGATGCAGGGGAAATGAGCGGCTGCATTCTACCTCTAAGAATGCAAAGTCCTCATGGATTAACCATGTTTATCATCTGTCTCTTTGGTATCTGTCAAGGGGGCCTTTCTACCCTGGGTGGGTCGTCCTCCCCAGAATTAGCCAATGTGTAGAGACAGTAAACCAGAGTCTGCCTATCTAACCCCTCCTCTGGGAGTCCTCACACTCAAGATCAGTATTTCACCAAGGAGACAGGTGCTAGACAATGAGGGGCAGCCCCTGCACCCTCGAACTCAAATCACCCACCCTGGTCAGTCTTATGTCCATTAACCCTGCTTCCAAGCCCTTCTAATGGAAACCACAGCAAAGGCTCTTGGCCAAGTCCCCCTCTTCACCTACCTCCAGTCAGCTTTGGTGCTCTCCATGCCCACGTATCCGTGGGTGTCCATGCAAGGGATCTGTTAATGGGATCAA